TTGGCTTCCTCCTGCAGTCAGTGTCGTAGTGTGTGTTTTGTGAGATGGAGGAGGACTTTGTGGATTGGTGTTGGACATATAGATTAATGTTGGACTTGTGAGCTTGGGCAGCACTGGGTTTGGATGTTTTCTTGATGTACATTTAACCTTTATATAAAACTATCTCCTATACATGAGTTTCTGTGGATTTGTTTCTCTAAAGTACCCAGACTAACACAGAGGTACCCTGGACTGGCTCTAGATAGAGTTTGATTCTGACATACTCATAACAGGAAAAGTGACACCAACTAGCCAACCAGTCTCAAGCAACAATTGGAAGAGCCCTAACTGCTGCCACAAATGATTCTTGAATACTTTAAACACCCTTCAACCTGGCATGCCTGGTAAACTCCTCCTCTCTGAAGGTAACTCAGTCCCAAATCGTGCAGAGTAACTACCCTGCTCCTGCAGTGCTGATGGTGGTGTGGCTTAAGGCCAGCAGGTCAAACCCAACAGCTGCTCTGCAGTAGAAAGCCACTTCTGTGGTCTTTCCCAGTTGCTAATTATAACCCCTCCTCCAGAAGATAACCAACACTGACAAATCCTACCATCGGTTAGTTTTACCTGGTTCTGAATGTTAAGAAAATGGCATTATAACCACATACATGCTTCTCTCTGGTTTCTTTTGTCAAGACTACGTCTGTGATACCCATTTTTGTGTGTATCACTTCACTAGCTTCCTTTGTGCATTGCATCCTATTCTACAAATACATCACCACATATTCCTCCACTGGTTCACGCCCTGGTGCCTTGTGGGTTGCTGTGATTCCGGAAGCTATGACCCGGATATTTTTCAAACACAGCAGGGTCACCCAGAGTGAACAGGGTTCAGTGAGCTTCCAGACTAAGGACAGACTACCAAGAATGAACAGGCTGTCCACTTCAGAGTGATTTGTTATTGAAAGCCCTGTGGAAAACATCAAAACAGTCAGTTATTAAAAACCTAATGAGCATTCTCAGAGGTAGTGCCCATTCTACTGCTGATAAAAAATGTAATTGTTTCCAGTTTGGGGCAGATGTAAATTATTTTATATTATTATACGTTTATAATTATTATATGTTCATACATATATCTTGGTACATATGAACATGGGCTTCAAAAAGTTCATGGGAAAACTACATTACCTTTTCATTTCACTTTCTGCAAGCTTCCCTCCCCCTTCTTTTTATTTATTTTCCTTACTTTTATTGGGGGCTCTTACATCTCTTATCACAATCCATACATTAATAGTGTGTCGAGCACATTTGCACATATGCTGCCATCATCATTTTCAAAGCATCCTCTTCCCACTTGAGCCCAGTATCAGCTCCCCATTTCACTTTAGTGGTTGCGCGGTTGTAGTTCTCTGTGGTTTTCATCTGAATTTTCCTATCGACCAAGATTAGGTCCTTATGCATGCTTAAGAACATTATCTATTTTGTGAATTATATATTTGGGGGATTATCTATACTGCAAGGAGCCTACCCAAACCTTTTTCTGTTTATTTTTCTATTGAGTATGTCTTTTATTCATTTTTAAGTTTGTTTTCTTGTATTGTTTTGCTACTTTTGAGAACATACACAGCAAAACACATGCATCAGTTTCTACATGTACATTGAGACTGATTATATTCCTCAAGTCGTGCAACCATTCTTACCCTCCCGGTCTGAGTTTTCCTTTCTCTTTTAACCTAAACTCATCGCACCACCACCCCTCAGGTTACTATGTAATCTTTCAAGTTGCTGATGTCAATTGGATCCCATGTAGGTCTTTAAGGGCTTAATGCTCAAGACAGAGACTTTTAATTAGTCAAAGTTGTTTGGCTTTTAAAAGACTTTAGGGCACTAGTTTTCAGGGTTATCCAACCTTCATGGCTCCAGAAAACGTGGAGTCTGTGAGAATTCTGTTCTGTGTTTTCCCTCTTTGGATGAGAACTTTTCTATAGGATCTTTTATTACAAAGCCAGTACTGGAAGCTGAACATCATCCAGTTCTTCTAGTCTCCTGGCAAAAAGATGTTCACGGGGGCGATTTGCTATGCACTAATTCTTTCTCCAATGCCGGACATTTCTTCTTCCTCTGTTGCTCCAGATGAACAGAAACCATTTTTCTGTGACTTGGATGCTTGTTTGCCAGCTTTGAAGATGCAAGGAGCTAAGCAACAAACTAGGAATGCAGCAAAAACACTAAACACGTTAGGCCAGCAGTTCTCAACTGTGGGTTGTAACCCCCTTAGGGGTCCAAAGACCCTTTCACAGGGGTCACCGATTCATAATAGTAGCAAAATGACAGTTGTGAAGTAGCAACAAAAATAATTTTATGATTGGTGGGTCACCACAACATGAGGAACTATATTAAAGGGCCGCAGCATTAGGAAGGTTGAGAACCACTGCATTAGGCCAATAATTTGAAATTATCTCGTGGAACCATGTCCTTGAACCTCCAAACCAAGGAACCAAATCCCAAGAGGAGATTTTTGTGTATGAGAGATGCCTCAGCAGCTACTGTTTAAGTGTATATTTCTGTCGTTGTCTAAACACATGTAGCACACTTTTGCTAATGAACTCGTTACAGGTGTACATCTAGTGACAACACTTAAAATGACTGGCCGTGCCCACTAACCCTTAATCAATGTGATTTTTCATTTTCATTTTAAATGTATTCTTTTTACGGAAGCATTGGTAGCACAACAGTAAGGTGCTCATCTGCTCATGAGAAGATGAGCAGTTCAAACCCATCAGAAAAAACCTAGTGATCTGCTCCTATAAAGATTACAGCACAGGAAACCTTTCAAGTAGTTCTTCTCCATCCTGTAGGGTCGCTATGAATCAGAATCAACCCAACAGCACACAAAGGCAACAGTCCTTGTTATACTCTAAATACCATTTCTTTGTGGGCTCCAGTTCGCATTCTGCGTTTTCTTTTACATTCTCCTTAATCATGTCTCTTGAACCACAGGAGTCCTCAATTCAATAATACACAAGTTATACATTTTGTTCTAGATGGTTAGTGTTATCTGAGTAATATTTTGCCTGCCCCAGGGAAAGGGAAATATTACCCTAAGCTTTCTTCAAAAAGATGCCTTGTTTTACACTTCATATTTAGATCACCAGAATCAGCAAGTGAGTGTGGGGAATATTCTGTGATGCATTCTATCAAGATGCATCATATTCTATACACTGACCCAGTATCACTATTTAGGTAACATTTCAAATATAAATTGGCCCAAAATATATAGAATTGGACATCATTTCCTCTATTGTACTGCAATTATCACCCTTCTTGTAAATTAGTGAATAACATGTGATGACCTGCTTCTGAACTCTGTTTTGTTTCAATACTCTGTATTTGCCAGAAAAACCACATCATCTCAATTTATCATAAGTTTTGGTATCTGGTGGTATAAATCCTTCTACTTTCAAGTTTGACCTCAGTTCTTCCAAACCTTCAGCATGTTCCCATAACTCTTAGAATTCGCTGCTCAATTTCTATACCAGAAAATAAAACAAACATATGGGTCATTTGGGGGAGAACTAACATCTTTATTATATTGAGTCACTCAATCCACAAACATGGTAATCTATTTATTTAGATGGTCTCTAATGTTTGCCAATGACATCTATGTTGCTTTTGATATACATTGTTTTTTCCTTTCATTACTGAGTTTTTGATGTGTTCAATGCTATTATAGGTGGCACTGTTTCTTTAATTAATTTTCTAATTCTTTATTGCAAACACAATAGAAAAAGATATTTATTGCTATAGTCAAACCTGCTAAATTCATTTATTTATCCACATATTTTCTATAGATTCTATTGAATCTTTCTTTTAGATTTGCTTCCCAATTCTTACATACTTTTTCCTTTAGCTGACTCTTGTTATTTTACTGTAATAGTATATCTGATATGATAGATGTGAGGACAGTAAATATCCTTATGTCATTTTCAACAACACTGGTGCTACCAGGTATTCTTATTTCAATTTGAAATCTCAATTGGCAAGTTTTCAATATTTTACAATTAAATGTTTGCTGTACATGTTTTAGTAGGTATCCTTTAACTAAGGAAACCCCCTGCTATTCTTACTATGAATTTTTTTTATCATGAGGGAGTGCTGATTTATATTTTTGTTAGAAGAAAATTCAAATTTTAAAAATGTTTTAAATGAATGCTGCAGGTAGAGGCTCCTTTCTAGAGAAGTGCATGCCCCAAATGTATGTGGATCTTGGGTTGTAAGAAGATATATCTATCTTACCAGAAGCCACAGCAGATCAGAGTTCCACTTCTATATGCACTGCCTCCGAGGCAACACTGCGACACTTTCATTCTGTTACATCCTCTGAGATGGTTTCTAGCCACTCTGACCTACTAGCCTAGGCTGCCTCAGTTATCTCCCAAGATACAAAGTTTGTGTGTGCTAATGTTCCAGTTTTACAAGAAGCAGCCCTAATTGTATTGTCCCCATAAATCCTGTCGGTTATTGTACATAGTTTTGAAGAACATGTTATTTTTCAGGAATACATACTCCTTATAGCAGAAATATATGTAAATGTCATAGAAAAAAGTAGTCATCAGCCCAATTTTAAGCATTTAAGCATATTTGCTGATTGTTTCATTATAACTGAGCCCGTCTAGCCAATCAGATAAAAACACACAAATGATTACAAAGTTATAGTTCGTTATTGATATCCTACTCAAATGCAGCTAAACAAGACTGAAAGATGATATGTTTGACATAAAAGACATCATGGGTAAAATCATGTTCTGACAGCCAGCAACCAGTTATTGAATTATGTATTCATATTTGTCTAATCTAGGGCAAAAAGAAAGAAAGCTACTTTTATGCTCAATGTAGAAGAGGGAAAGTTTTATAATGGTATTTGATAATGTGATGAATTATGGTTTCTAAATGATTGTTTAAAATCAATTAGCAGAAAGTACAATGTGGCCAGAAATGATCACTATTTGGGTAGTGATACTCACCTTCACACTTCTCAAGAATCTGGACTGTTTCTCCAATTTCTAGGACCAAGCCTTGAGGGACAGATCCTCGAAAGCTGCATATCACTAGAAAAGCAAACACATACATTAATTGGCATTTTTAAAACAC